ACCGGTTGTGTCGCGCTATTGATGCAGTGGCTGTACATTTTCACGGAGAGTAAGGGTCACGCGTATATAAATTTAAGTGTTGAATGTTCATATAATTAATGTATGATAACATCAAATCATTCCAATAGTATTGCGTAAGATAAAAACTATTGATAACTGCATGAACATTTATCTATTTCAGTCTCAATTATACTGACTAATGTAATGTTATTATATTCAATAAGCGCTTTTATTGGTTCTTTTTAAAAATAAATTCTTTTTCGTCAAACTAAACTCGTGTGGCTCTTACACATACATGGCAAGAACTGGGCAACAACATTGTCATTGCTTATTTAGCTGTCAGCCTCTAATAACAAAACTAAATATATCTGATATATATATCGAAGCGATCGGCCGAGCAGTGCGAGCCGTTATGGCAACACATGTACGGAAAGTAAGGGAAAATGAGTGTAAATTGATTCTATGCTAGAGGAAGGCTTCAAAAAATTTCGTCCTTTCGGTCGAACAGGCTCGCAAAAAAACGGCATCATGCGTTGCTCCGTGTTTGCGTTGATGTTCTTTTTTTGCACAAAAAATATATTTGATATTTTTAATAAGTATCTGTATTTTTGTTTTGTCCAATAACAACCCTAAAATTATATAGTATTAATAATGATAACTTTATTCAAAGAGGATCACTTTTGAGGATCGTTCCTATTTTCCAAAAGATCCTCTAAATATGTACATGTACATATATACAATATAACAATGAAGTCAGAAAAACAACAACAGGTATACATGTCAATATTACAATACATATGCAAGACCACACACTTGTGTTTTTCTAACGAATCAGAAAGCACAAGTTTATTGCACGGACGAATATATACGTCCGCGCAATAAATGAGTGCTTTCTGATTCGTTAAAAAAACACAAGTGTGTGATCTTGCTTTTATCACATACCTTCCGTATTTGGTAGAGATCGATACAAAGATTTTATAAGCTTTGATATTTGTTGCAAATACCGAGAACTTTTCAGTTGGCCATGACAAGGGAATTCCCATAAAAAGTAGTTCCGGCTAGTAGGTAAATGCACGGACTTAGATAGCAATTACTCCATATGGTGCATTTTCGTAGCTTCTTTTTTTTCTTAATGCATTAAAAAAAATGTGACATAAACTTCTGTCTCAGCACTATGAATAGGCTTAGAATAAACAAAAATTGTCTTAATCTGACTTTCCCAAAATATTTCATTGAGTTTTTGAATTTCATTTATGTTTAAAATTAGCATTTTTTCAATATTAATGACTATTGAGAAATTTTTGATTCTGCGAAAGGACATGTCTATTTGATATGTTTGATATCTTTGCTGTAACCAGAGACGTATATATTAACCAAAATATTACACATTGTAGCAACTTTTTGACATAATAAGCAACCTCCCCCCAATCATTTTTCTAGTCACAGAAACTAAATAACAATTCCAAATTATTCTTATAATTAGGCTTTAAATTTGAATGCAACATTCTTCTATCTTTTTCAGCTAACCGAAATATAACTTGCTGTTCCAGGGACAGCTCCACCACCAGTGTCCCTGTTGACAGCACCACTAGCTCTGTTGTACTACAGCTCCACCACCAGTGTTCCTGTTGACAGCACCACTAGATCTGTTGTTCTACAGATACCAAGCCCAGACGTTAAAGCTATTATGTTGACAGCACCACTTGCTCTGTTGTACTACAGCTCCACCACCAGTGTTCCTGTTGACAGCACCACTAGATCTGTTGTTCTACAGATACCAAGCCCAGACGTTAAAGCTATTATGTTGACCGCACCACTAGCTCTGTTGTACTACAGCTCCACCGCCAGTGTCCCTGTTGGCAGCACCACTAGCTCTGTTGTACTACAGCTCCACCACCAGTGTTCCTGTTGACAGCACCACTAGCTCTGTTGTTCTACAGATACCAAGCCCAGACGTTAAAGCTATTATGTTGACAGCACCACTAGCTCTGTTGTACTACAGCTCCACCACCAGTGTCCCTGTTGACAGCACCACTAGCTCTGTTGTTCTACAGCTCCACCACCAGCGTCCCTGTTGACAGCACCACTAGCTCTGTTGTTCTACAGGTACCACCACCAGCGTCCCTGTTGACAGCACCACTAGCTCTGTTGTACTACAGCTCCACCACCAGGGTCCCTGTTGACAGCACCACTAGCTCTGTTGTTCTACAGATACCAAGCCCAGACGTTAAAGCTATTATGTTGACAGCACCACTTGCTCTGTTGTACTACAGCTCCACCACCAGTGTCCCTGTTGACAGCCCCACTAGCTCTGTTGTTCTACAGGTACCAAGCCCAGCCGTTAAAGCTATCCTGTTGACAGCAACAATTTTCAGTGTCATTTAAATCATCAATGTAGTCCTAAATGGATTGATGATCTTCATCAACTTCTTTGGACAAAGTGCTTAAACTTTTATTTACTTTAATCCAGAGAACTTTTCTTTGGTAACCTTTTATTTTTGTATTTTTTTTAGGACGTTTTTTCTTGAACTGATTAAGATGTGTCCACTGTGTAAGAAAGAGCACATTTATTAAAGTAGCTGTAACATCCAGTTCGAATAAAGACTTGTATAGTATACAGATTAAAGTTTGCAGTTTACATACCTTTGGTATGTAATTGATTATTATCTTTCAAAATTGATTTATTGTCAATTTGTTACTCAATTACAGAATATATGTATTGTTATATAAGTATCATTACTATTTATGTTAGAAAGTTAGAACATGTTTCATATACATCATACTTAGATAGAACCAAGAGCCTGCAACATATACTTTTGCTGTAGGTAAACAAAATGAAGAGATGCACTTTAACTAATTCATTAGTTCATTTGTGTTAACTAAGTTATATATACTTTGGGAAAATAGATCATACCAAACAGGTACATGTATATACATGTACAAGCACATGTAACGTTTTCACATAATATGAGAGTTTATTGTCCAATGTCTAATTATCAAGCACATATGCTTGATTTTATATAATATATACAATGAGCCATTTGAACTAAGTTGAACCATTTCATAAACATTTTCCTTGAGATTTAGAGGGTCAAAAACATATCAAATTGACCTGTATTAATTAAGCAAAAAGTTCTAAAGATATAATTTTGGAGAGACAAAAAAATACTTATCGAGGATCAACCTTAATCCCTGTAATATGTGAATAGTGTAATATGTGAATAGTGTAATATGTGAATAGATGATTATTCATGACTTTCCACTCACACATGAACATTGTACTACGTGTGTGTACACAACTGAACAAAAACTATCAAATGAAAATATAGCTGTTTTTAGTAGTTACAGGTGACCTATGTCACAAGCTTGAGTGGTGATGTACAAATTATATTATAATTCAATGTTAACTCTGATGAGAAATAATTGGTTATTTGATTTAAAAGTTCCTTATTCTGGTGTGGAATGGTGTATTAAAGTTGTAAGGCTTTGAAGCAGTTTGGACCCCCTTTATCTTTTTTGGCATGCTGAAATTAGGAATCATCACGTTGGATTTGGGTCAATATTTAGAGCCGTATAAATACACTTTCCAGATTATCAATGCAACTGAAATCGTTCTGTGTACATCATAATATTCCAGAATGTAAACAAATAACATCATATTTACGATCAGTTACCGAGAATTACATACACTTAAAACCACATGTTGCGATTAAACACATATCAAAAAGCAATTATGTTTAGTTCGTATGTCAAATTATTTATTTATTAGCAAGACATTTCTATATAAAAACAAGAGGCCCAATGGGCCTGCATCATTCACCTGGTATGAATCTCACACTTGTAACCTTAAAAGTGATCTAAAATAAAGCTACAGGCAAAAAAAATATCAGTATTTATGATTAAAATTCATTCAAAAGCTTTCTCGCATTTTCTCGCAATATCAAAGTGCCCTAGACATATTTCCTATGCCGAAGCACAGGGGCATGGATCGCTTTACTTGTAATATAAAAAAAATAGGAGTCTCCTATACTAATATATACAAAAATAGGGATCTCCTATACTAATAGGATCGCTTTACTTGTAATATATTTTTATATTACAAGTAAAGCGATCATATTAGTATAGGAGACCCCTATTTTTTTATATTACAAGTAAAGCGATCCATGCCCCTGTGTGCTGAAGAGGCAGTTGCCTTTCCCTCTAATCTAATTCCTTGGTAAATACCCATTACCATTCTAAGCTGTGTATAGGTAAACTATTTACAGCTATAATTACCAATAACTAAATTATCTGGGGTTTCAGGTTATAGATGAAATCCACTCTGGTATTTTTAGAGGTTATTTAACAATTGACATTATCTTCAATGTACATTTACTATTTGAACTAATCAGAAGTCAACCTCGGCCTGGCAATTTTATATAATTCAGTCCGATCCTGCCCCGTTCCTGTAATTGCAATTCTTTTATCAAATATATCTCATACCCGATAAGGATAATCAAATACAAACAATAAATATATATAAATAAGTCCGATCCTGCCCCGTTTCTGTCCGTTCCTGTAAACCGTCGCCCATTTCTGTACGTTCCTTTAGATTTAATCGTCGCCTGTTCCTGCCCATCCATATCAATACAATACTCTTAATTCGTTGCAATTATTTTATCAAATATATCTTATACCCGCTAAAAATATATATAGGTCTCATAATTAATAACGACATAAAAGTATATAGATATAATTTAGTCCGATTCTTTTACCAACATTTTTAAATGAGACAGTCAATTGCAGTTGATATTTTTGATAACGATAGGAAATTATTCCTCGGTACTCACGTACAGACCGTCTCCTACGGTGACACTTAAATATTCTCCCTGCGTGTATATCATACTGTAAATTATATCTAACCAGGTTTATAAACAGGTACGTTTTTATACGGGTGTCAATGATAAGGTTGCACCTGTCTCTACCTATAAATAATCCAATACGACGGGGTGTTTAATTGTGTGTTCACCGGTCTAGGTTATAAACACTGTACAATATATATATACAGCTGATCATAACAAACTGAAACTCGTATCTAAGTGCACGACCAGGAAGTGACTGTGTCCTAGCAGGCAAATTGTAGGTCCATGAAATACGTCTGTTTGACAAAGGTTGACTTTTATTAATCTGATAACGGTTTATGCTGTAGATCGATGGAGAGCAAACAGGTAAGTTTATTTGTGTGTGGGAGGAAGAAGTTCTAATATAACATTTTGAGAACGAACGACGTTAAATTATTTATGTCCAGAGTAGTACATATGAAACCACGGAATAAGTCCATTTAGTGTCCTTGTATGTTATATAGATCGTCATTATATGTATACAGTGCTATGTGTTTACATGTACACCAGATGTTAACCTGTTAACTGGTGAACATATCTGCCTGAGTACCTGTTAGGTACAGATTCAGATACACAGTTATGATTTTATACAATTTATCATAAATGATGTGTTACATCTACAATACTTTAGCTATTGACACATGAAGCACCCATGTAATGTATATATATAACCAGCAGGAAGTCACAGGACAAATAAAGCATACACAAATTTGCTAACAAAGCCCCACTCACCCGCCCCGTTACCCTAATTTTTAAACTAACGCTGTTTAAGTAAGGATACATCTACTCCTTGTAACATATGCACATCAACTAGGGTGGGAACATTCCTGTTTATATTAACATCAACTAGGGTGGGAACATTCCTGTTTATATCAACATCAACTAGGGTGGGAACATTGCTGTTTATATTAACATCAACTAGGGTGGGAACATTCCTGTTTATATCAACATCAACTAGGGTGGGAACATTCCTGTTTATATCAACATCAACTAGGGTGGGAACATTCCTGTTTATATCCACATCAACTAGGGAGGGAACATTCCTGTTTATATCAACATCAACTAGGGTGGGAACATTCCTGTTTATATTAACATCAACTAGGGTTGGAACATTCCTGTTTATATCAACATCAACTGGGGTGGGAACATTCCTGTTTATATTAACATCAACTAGGGAGGGAACATTCCTGTTTATATCAACATCAACTAGGGAGGGAAAATTCCTGTTTATATCAACATCAACTAGGGAGGGAAAATTCCTGTTTATATCAACATCAACTAGGGAGGGAAAATTCCTGTTTATATCAACATCAACTAGGGAGGGAAAATTCCTGTTTATATCAACATCAACTAGGGGGGGAACATTCCTGTTTATATCAACATCAACTAGGGCGGGGACATTCCTGTTTATATCAACATCAACTAGGGCGGGGACATTCCTGTTTATATCAACATCAACTAGGGAGGGAAAATTCCTGTTTATATCAACATCAACTAGGGAGGGAAAATTCCTGTTTATATCAACATCAACTAGGGAGGGAAAATTCCTGTTTATATCAACATCAACTAGGGAGGGAACATTCCTGTTTATATCAACGTCAACTAGGGTGGGAACATTCCTGTTTATATCAACCTCAACTAGGGTGGGAACATTCCTGTTTATATTAACATCAACTAGGGTTGGAACATTCCTGTTTATATCAACATCAACTAGGGCGGGGACATTCCTGTTTATATCAACATCAACTAGGGAGGGAACATTCCTGTTTATATTAACATCAACTAGGGTTGGAACATTCCTGTTTATATCAACATCAACTAGGGGGGGAACATTCCTGTTTATATCAACATCAACTAGGGGGGGAACATTCCTGTTTATATCAACATCAACTAGGGCGGGGACATTCCTGTTTATATCAACATCAACTAGGGAGGGAAAATTCCTGTTTATATCAACATCAACTAGGGAGGGAAAATTCCTGTTTATATCAACATCAACTAGGGAGGGAAAATTCCTGTTTATATCAACATCAACTAGGGAGGGAAAATTCCTGTTTATATCAACATCAACTAGGGAGGGAAAATTCCTGTTTATATCAACATCAACTAGGGCGGGGACATTCCTGTTTATATCAACATCAACTAGGGCGGGGACATTCCTGTTTATATCAACATCAACTAGGGAGGGAAAATTCCTGTTTATATCAACATCAACTAGGGAGGGAAAATTCCTGTTTATATCAACATCAACTAGGGAGGGAAAATTCCTGTTTATATCAACATCAACTAGGGAGGGAACATTCCTGTTTATATCAACGTCAACTAGGGTGGGAACATTCCTGTTTATATTAACATCAACTAGGGTTGGAACATTCCTGTTTATATCAACATCAACTAGGGAGGGAAAATTCCTGTTTATATCAACATCAACTAGGGAGGGAAAATTCCTGTTTATATCAACATCAACTAGGGAGGGAAAATTCCTGTTTATATCAACATCAACTAGGGAGGGAAAATTCCTGTTTATATCAACATCAACTAGGGAGGGAAAATTCCTGTTTATATCAACATCAACTAGGGCGGGGACATTCCTGTTTATATCAACATCAACTAGGGAGGGAAAATTCCTGTTTATATCAACATCAACTAGGGTGGGAATATTCCTGTTTACGTGAACATCAACTAGGGTGGGAACATACCTGTGTACGTGAACATCAACTAGGGTGGGAACCTTCCTGTTTATATCATTATTACAATATTATATTATCTACAAGGGTAATTTGATATTGTCAAGATGGTGGCCAGTCCAAATGCATTTTCATGGTTTCTGAGCTTATTCTGGTTGGATTTGAATTTATTTGTGACGTCGTTTATGAATATTCTGATTTTGAAAGTTCAATTTTAAAGAATAGCAAAAAAATGAAATGTGCCTTGGAAAATAAGATTTTAATTAATTGCAAAAGACAACCAAGGAATCTTAAACTTTATTGTGCAAGTCAAAATTTGATGAAAAAATATATAAATATATATATATATATATAGTGACACTTAAATATTTTCCCTGCATGTATATCATACTGTAAATTATATCTAACCAGGTTTATAAACAGGTACGTTTTTATACGGGTGTCAATGATAAGGTTGCACCTGTATCTCTATTACCTATAAATAATCCAATGCGACGGGGTGTTTAATTGTGTGTTCACCAGTCTAGGTTATAAACACGGTAAAATATATATACAACTCAGAACAAACTGAAACTCGCATCTAAGTGCCAGGAAGTGACTGTGTCCTAGCAGGCAAATTGTAGGTCCATACTCAAAACAGGCACAATCGTATCATTATATATAATTTACAGGGTTGACTTTTATTTGTGTAATGTGTAATCTATGTATAGCTAGTTCTGACAATGTGTAACTTATATAAAGCTTAGTTTTGACAATGTGTAACCTAGCTAGTTCTGACAATGTGTAACCTATATATAGCTAGTTCTTACAATGTGTAACCTATATAAAGCTAGTTCTTACAATGTGTAACCTATATAAAGCTTAGTTCTGACAATGTATAACCTATATATAGATAGCTCTTACAATGTGTAACCTATATATAGCTAGTTCTTACAATGTATAACCTATGTACAGCTAGTTCTGACAATGCGTAACCTAGCTAGTTCTGACAATGTGTAACATATATATAGCTAGTTCTGACAATGTATAACCTATATAAAGCTAGTTCTTACAATGTGTAACCTATATATAGCTAGTTCTTACAATGTGTAAC